CCTCGTTACTATGCTGGCGACTTTACTGAAACTGCTTTAAGTGAGGAAAGAATGCCGACATAATGGAGCACTTCGACAATGATTCCCATATCCAAAAAGGGCGAAAACTACCGGGGTATTAGTCTGGTGACCGAACTTCCAAGGTGTTTCCTGGTTTTATCCTACGCAGGTGGATCCGTCATCGGAAGAGTTAGATTCGAGAGTGTAAAGCCGGGTTTCATCCTGGCCACGATTTCAGATATCGTACCCTTACCTTGCAACAAATACTGCAACAGCGTCACTCCTTCGGACGACTAGCAGTGAACGTCTATCTCGATCTCACATCTGCTTTTGGCTCCGATGATCAGCAGAAACTGGCGGTGTCTAGGGATGATGTCTCTTCTAAATACTTCTCTTGTAGACTTTACATGCCCCCTTCCGTAGATGCGTAGGTGTTTGTGGCAAATTCTTTCCTGAGTTCACCACATTCATTGATATCATCATGTCCTCTCATTATTTCTCTTCACCTTTGATATCGTTGTGCTTCCTAAATCTTCACCTTCATCCAACATTTTGGGTGTCGAAATACTCCATGGGCGTTCGCTCACGGATAATGAGTATCCCGACGATGTTGCTCTTTTCGGACCGTCAGCACCCTAACTAACCTAAAGAAATACTTCTGCTGCACAGTCTTGTGTACGATTTAACGTATAACTTGTAAAGTGCTACTGCAAGACTGGGTGGAATCGAACCCAAACCTTATGCTTGCAGGTGAACCCATCACGAGGAGACTGGACCTTACCGTGTTGTTACAGTTTGTGTGCCTCCGCAACGCATTGATCTATACTGCTGTGTGTGTGTCCGTGCGACACTCGTAGGGTTTCTTACCAGGTTGTCAATTGTTAAAGGTCTGACCCACAGTCCCCTAGCCCTCCTAGTTGAAGTTGGAACATATGTTGCGTCTTAACCCATGAAAATGGTAAAGCACCTGAACTTCCCGACACACAACGCTGCCTTACAGTCTGTCTTACAGTCAAAGGGTTGGTTTAAGGGCCCTTATCGTCCACCTGTCTAGGTCTGGGCGCCCCAGCAGTACTCCAGCACACATACAACTATGAGTACGGCAGTGAAGCATCAGTGGTGAACACTGATGTTATGCTGTTGATGATGATGCAAGTGGACCGACCGATGAAGTGTATAGTTTCGTTTATCTGGACAGGTGCGTAAGTCCCGGCGAACTTGTGAAAGGCTAAACCACTTCTCGAATCGGGAAGGCCAAGGCAGCATTTGCCTACCTCCGACACTTGTGGCACCTCCATGATATCAAATGGATTACTGAGAGTAGAGTGTACAATTCCGCGTTCCGACCTGTCCAACTTTATGGGTCAAAGTGGTGGTCGATGCATTTGGAGGGTCTTCGGGGATTCTGTATTCGACTGTTGGTGTCTCCGATTTATTGAACGGATCTGATGGGAACATCAGACCAGTAATGGGCGAGATGGCCGAAGTTGTTAGGGCGCGAATTTGCTGACCGGAAGGTCCATGGTTTGAATCCGACATCCGCCTCTCGACTTCCCCTTTCTAGACTTGGGCAACCTGACAGTATCCCAGCCCTCGTGCCTCCTATGGGTGGCATGGCAGTTAGGCGCCGAAAGGGTGCTACAGCTGAACGATTATTATTATTATTATCATTATTATTATTATTATGTTGAACTTCACCAAGTAGTTTTCAAAAGGAATCAATCTCCTTGGCAAGATCAGCTGATCACCCACAGGCTGCGCTGCCTAGGCCACGTCGTACGCCCGGTCTAGTATCGGTTGGAGACGACCGAGAGGTGGCCAGTCCATGATTTGGCAACGAAGCATGAAAGCCTCCATCAGTGAACTGAGTTATTTTGGTAACTGCCGTCTCCTCGGATGGGGACCGCGGAAATAGACAAACCATTGGTCAGTGATCCAGATGACGCTTCCTCCTCTTCTGAGTGAGTTATTTTGGTAACTGCCGTCTTCTCGGATGGGGACCGCGGAAATAGACAAACCATTGGTCAGTGATCCAGATGACGCTTCCTCCTCTTTCCCCTCTTTACGCGGTTGTTAGTGCCATTCAAGTAAGCCCATCCTCAAGGGGTAACAGATCCTTTCGCCACCCATTGCCGTCAGCCAGCGCTCAGTTTATCTGATACTCTTTAACGTTTACACTCTGAGACAAGCCGGTCGATAGGTTGCTCTTGCGCGTAAACTGGATTTCTCTCATATTGAGTTGTATCATCCTTCGGGAACGAGGATTTGAGATCCATGTACGGTTGTTGAACTGACCTATCCATCGGTTTGCTCTTCTCTCTGATTGTGCACCTCTGGTGCTTAAGGATTGCTGCAACTGGTTCTGCTGGGTTTGTTGCCGTTTTAAACAACCAAGCTGGAGGATCCGTGTTTGAGTGGCTGTCCGTTGATAGCAGCTTTTTTGCGCTCCGTTTGGCAACGTCCCACAATCATCATACTCATCGACGGCATAACATCGGTGCTGAACACAGATTCTTACTGTGTAACCATGATTTATTTCAAGTCCTTATTACGAGGATAAGAATACAAGTGGATTGGGAAATGTTAGTTGGGATCCCACACGGATCCCACTTTACCGCTCGCATTTAGGCGCTGCTACAGCCGACAAGCCTATCCCACACGAGATTGATCAAAAGTTCTGGACGCTTGCCGGTTCGACATCAAGCCGAGATCTGATCGATCGAGAGTCTCTACCCAGCAGGTAATCATTACCCAGTATTGGCCGAATGCCGGTTGCCAATGGCGCATCCAGAAGGTGCCAGAATTTCCAGGAAGTTATCGCTGCTTACAATATGTATATGAAACGCTCTACAATTGTTCTTGACTTCGTTTTGGGCGTTAATATGCCTTGCGCACATTTGGTGGATGTTTTGACGTGAACGTCAGCTTGGGAGGCTCACCGATATTACAGGAACGGACTTAGTGCTGGCCTGCCACAATTATTCCGGACGCTTATCCTGACAATCCGGATTGCAATGGACAGAAAGAACGCCATAGCAATCGGTTAGTATCCCGTACTCCCGCTGATAGTCCCTACCAGTCCATCATATCTACTGAGGCACCAACAGACCAGCTTTACTTGTTTCCAGTGCTTTGTTGCGGCTGGCCAAGTGCTGAGGTCTTGTTGTGTTTGGCAGAGAAATGAATGCACATGTAGGTAGACTTGGCGCTGCTAAAACCCAATTAGGTGGTAGCCTTGGGTTGAAATCGAAGCTCACAGACAACGCCGAAAAACTGGACAGACTGTTTTTGTTCAGTACTGACTTCCGAAACAACCAAAGCCATTTGGCCGCATGGCGCCTTTGCACTCTAGCCATCCTCCACACAGTCACTAGCTATAAGAGGAGGAATGAAGAGAAATGGTGAGAGAGGAAACATTGTCCTACACCACTGTACTCGGTAAATTCGTGCGAAAGCTTACTGTATGCTCGTACACATACCATGCCCTTCTAAGGAATTTGAATAAGGAAGGCCACGGGATACCACCGAAGTTTCCGACGACCAGTAAACTTAAAGACAGCCTTTGTATATAGGAAAACGGCCACCGTAGAACGTTGAGAGTTTGACACTGCTCAAAAACATATCTCAAGATTTGTCATAATTGTTGTCTGCTTATTATTGAAATCACCCTATATACTCCTACTGAATCTTGGTGCGTGCATTTCAGCCCATTCACGCTTGTTGTTAGACAGGTAATTCACTGTTTATTCTCGATAAATTGGACTCTAACTCGCTCTCGAAAGCATTCCGAATGTTACAAGGTAACGATGTGGTCGATGCATTCTCGGTCACGGGGAATCTCAGCTCGATTCCCACGAGTTTATCTCCCGACAATAGATCAACCTGCGTAACAATGCCAGAGAGCACCTTGGATTCCGTGGATAGCAGGCTAATGAAATGATTGTATCCACGCGACGTTCTTGCACCTTTTTCGAAGAATCGAATCACTGGATTATTTGGGTATTCTGTTTTCCTCCCAAATGTTTCGTAGTAGGGTCGTCATTGGGGCTCACTGGGGTTTCACTGCCTTGTTTAAATAGAGTGTGTGTGTGTGTGTGCGTGTGTGGAGGATTGCAGATCATCCGGGTCGGGTACTTTGTCGCGTTGGAGGAATTGTCTAACTCCAAACTGTATTTGGCTCAAACGGCTCACCGCAAGGAGGTGAAGGGGTGTCGACATGCGGTCATAGTAGTACATGTCTTCTAAGGAACAAGTTACCGTGCCTGTTCCGACCCCCAATCGGGAGGACCCCGAATGTCTGTCCCAACTCAACTGAGTTTTAGCGAAATACCACCAATAGAGACAGTAAGGCAGTGAAGCATCGGTGTTGAACACTGATGTCATGCTGTCGTTGATGATGATGATGATGAGACAGCTTACATTACTGCCCACAGGGTTAACACCATCTGACCGACAGTAAAGCGTGACTGTCCACTCCAACTCCCCGGGTCAGGTTGATTGTCTTCAAGCAGCTAGAAGATGGCATCGCAAACTGAAGAGCGGGCCTCACGTGGGCTGTAACTAACACAATAGACAACTTGACTAAGAGTAGTAATCTTGCTCACATAACAGCTAGACTACTGCTGGATGTGATCTTAGTAAAAGTGGCACTCACGTACGCCTACCCATTTGCAGGATTTTGATTTCTATCCCGATAGGACAACAAGCGTGGATTTCCAAGGTTATATCTGAACTCCATGACCCACCTAGCTACTGCTCTCGAACGACTATCTACCGAGAGACCGTGGTTTGCCTCCCTGGATGGCTTGTTCTCAGTTAAACTTTATGAAACTACATATACATACTAATACTACTTTATACTACAATTACATTACTTACTTTTTGGTTTTCAGCTAGGTTTTCGTCCCCGGAGCTGGCTCTTATCCTTCTGTTAATCTCATTATGGGAACTTGCTCTTAAATATGTTCTCACCATTGTGTCACTAGCACACAGTTTGCACTATGGATCTTCCGGATGCCTATTTGCGGACCTCAAGGAGACTGGCAGAATACTTTGTTGTTTGTGGACTCCCTGAAAATCCTAAGCCATATGATTTAACCAAGGTAAGGTTAACGTCAACCGCCTCACCCTCTACCCTTTTTTCTCTGACAGGTCTTGACTCATTCTGAAGAGATTATTATACAAGATAAACCTGTGGACTTCACTGCATTTCCCGAGCCGATTGTGGACATCCAAGTATGCCAGCAGGAGACAATCTAATCTGTTGCTTTCCTAGTTCATTTGTTTGAAAGAACGAGAGAGTCTTCCTCAAGGTTATCACGCAATACGTCGTAGTGTGAGCGGCCGGTACAAAGCCAACATACGTGGGCGTATTGGCGACGAGGTCTACTTGTGTTATCGTCGCGGGAGGGATAGACCTCCCATAACGAATATTTCGTAAGTGTGTTTACGAACCTGTTCACTCATCCATTTCTCGACAGTATTACGGGACCGCCGTTCAGATAAGGGTGGCTACAGTCCACATTTTGGATCAGCTCGTTTCCTGCTAGCTTCTGCCGCTGCGGTCCGAAGTTATTCTCTTTAGTCACACATTAGTAATAAAAATGATGACCTATGTATACTCAGCTGGTAACTCAGAGAGTTTGTGACTGTGTCTAGCAGAAACTGGAAAATCGCTGCGAGAAAACGTTTAAACCACTTACTGGCTTGGTAGAGTTTAGCTGGCCAGGATAACTGAAGAGACCAATCTCTGGAAAGAAAGCCTCTTTGCAGAGAATGGTTGGTCGATCCATCCTGATGGGATTAGCTCAATGGATTCTCATTGGAATTCTTGGAAAATACTAACATTTGTGTCGGTAGATGTGTCGCTGGAGTTTGCGCAACCAAGGGTGACCGACAAAGTAATTTTGAGACTTGCGTTCGTCCTCTGTACTAAGAAAAAATCACCTGTTTGATAACCTTTGATTATCCCGCAGATGGATGCATTCTACCGGTCAATTTAAACTCTACGGTACATTTGAAGGATCTCCTTCCGGTCGATAGGACTAGGAACTGTGTATACAAAATAAAATGTAACGACTGTACGAAGGTTTACGTAGGTCAGGCAGCCAGGGAATTGCACACCAGAATTGGTGAGCATAAGCGTTCCATTTATAGACCACCGAGAAACGTACATGAATACCAAACGTTATTCAAAGATTCGGCAATGGCAGGGCATGCACTAGACACTGGGCATAGGATAGATTTAGAAAACGTGAACATCCTGAGACGGGGGTGGCCGAGGCGGTGGAAATCGCTAAGCATCCCAGCGTGAATAGAATAGAGTGGGTAGAACTTGCAAACATGTGGAGAGCGGTCTTAGATCAGCTGAGATGACACGAGGCGGTGTACAGTTATCAGCCAAATGGCCTGGGTCTAAAAGTACAAAATCCAAGTAGAGTTAGATCCAATTAACCACCTCACCCCCATCCCCAAACCAATTGTCCCGGCACCCTTTGACGAACACAGGTGAACGAAATCTGTGAACGGCCCCCAAGAGGAATTTCCCACTAAGCTGTCCTAGACTTAAAAAGCAAGGACGAAAAATCCGGGTTCATCATGAAGACAAATCCTCCCCCTAACTAATCTATCTTAAATGTTAGTGTCTCCCAACTAATCAACAAACAGGAGCACCAGACTGAACGGCCAGCACTGATCAAGTTGGCTAGTCATAAGAGATATCACGGATTGGTTCCCTGACTGCCTTAAAACCCAATCAACCTACTTGGTCTGACGATACATTTGTGTCAATAAATACACCGATTTTTTTTACCAAACCTCTCTGAAACGATCTACTGTACATACTTTCATTTTGAACTTTTCGCGCGCATATTGCCACATAACGTATAGTCTGTACGCTCTGGTTCATACAGAGACAGATTGGTTTGACCAGAGTGAGGAAAGCTTAGCAGCCAGCTCCGAAACAGTATCTTCGATTGACCGTACCCTGTCAGATGCGTATTCGGTCCACTATGACCAGGAATCTTTATACTTTTTGATTTCAGGATGTTCACCGACAATCAGACACACCACCTAAGACATGATGCATGGAAAATCACGCACACGATGGAGGAAAAGAACGCGAACTTGGGAAATGCCCTTGGCTACCCCACATATCTGTCGTATACACGCGCATCACCTGTGAGTGGTATCGATCAGCTTGCGGTGGTTGATATGTGCATCATATTCCCAGATAAGGAAGAATGCTGTCCACCGGCCTTTAACAAACTTTCCGAGTCGTTGAACAGTAATCCGGTGAGTTTGACTTTCTGTCCACAGCCCGTAGTATCACTGATCCAATCTCTATACTGCTTCGCACTTTGAGGTGATTTTTTCAGCTTGTCATCCGACTTACAGCCGTCACTTTGTCGTGGTCTGGGAACGATGCTGGAAAGGTCCTATGAACCACACTCACTGGAACTCATCATCATGATGGACAGCATAACATCAGTGTTCAACATTGATGCTTCGCTGCCGTACAACCATGGTTTATTTAAAAGCCTTATTGTGGAGAAAAGAATAGAGGTGGACAGGGAAGGGACTTAGTGCTAGCTTACTACAATCATTTCAAGGTGCCTACACCTCCAGACACTGATTGAGGAAATCTGGATAGAAATTGACAATAAGAACGCCACTGACATCGGTTGGCAGCCATATCTTGTAGTGTCTCCAACCAGGCACAGTGAGGATCACGCGGTCCCCATCCTGGAAGGCGAGTAGCACCGACAGCATCCAAACGTTTCCTAATCTTCGTACTCCTCTACCAAGTCAAGGGTTGGCCACCTCTCTGTTTACGCCACTCTGAGTTCGGCATGGAAAACATCACTCTCCTCGGCAACCCACACGAGCCATGGTTCTGAGACAACGATTGTCGAACACCTGAGGACGTCTCAGTTCCGCTGCTCGAATGGCCCAAGTCTCACAGCCATACAACAAAACAGCCCGTACTGTAGCTTGATATACACGTCCCTTCAGATTCAGGGATAAACCATTCTCAAGTTAGCAAACGCGGCCCGAGCCGTGCACATTGGTGCATTCACCTCATCTGTCACACTACAGTCAGAACTAATACAACTTCCAAGCTGCGTAAAGCGCTCCACAACTTCCAGTACCTCTCCCTGGATCGTAAGTGGCGTGTTCAGTGACTGCACGTCCATAAGCATGACCTTACACTTTGTGGGTGCAAAGTGCATACCAAAGGACGGGATGACTTTAGTCAGTTCATCCAAGAATACTTGCGCCTTCTCCGCCTCTTCGAACATGAGAACGATGTCGTCTGCATATTCCAGATCGACAAGGTTTTCTCCACAGGCTATTTGAACACCAGGGTTTTGGAGACCCTCCAGCGTTCGTCTCATTATTTCATCGATCACAAAGTTGAAAAGGAATGGAGAGAGTGGGCATCCCTGACGGACACCGCTTTGTGTACGGAAACTTTTGGAGAGCTCTCCGTACACTCTCACACGTCCGGAAGTCTGAGAATACAAAGAACGTATTATGTTTACAAACTCCCGGGGCATTCCTTGGTGGGCAAGCGTCTCAAGAAGAACAGACCGGTCAACCGAGTCGAATGCGCCTCGGAAATCCAGGAATACTAGAATTGTGGGTCACTTATACGTATGGCGTTGTCCTACCACCTGACGCAGTTTGAAGATTTGGTCAACACAACCCCTACCAGGCCGGAATTCTGCTCGCTGCTCTCGAGTCAGTGTTTCACGAGCCACTGTAAGGCGACGAAGCCCCAGTGACACCAACAGTCTCGTTCGACCGGGGCCAAGCTGTCACACTCACTACGAGCGTTTTTTTAAATTGCCCGCTTAGCTTGAACGCGTTTCCTGTTCCGTCCTCCGTTGCCTGCGGGAAAATATCTAGAGCTAGGCCGTCTTTTGACCACTTGGTATAGACATTGACATTTCTGGCGTTGGCTCAGACAAAGTCGAATTTAGACACAACTCGTTTCGAGTGAAAATTATATCACTCATGGCGTTTGTGCTGTCAGAATGGTTACACAATAATAAGTAAGTAACAGGAGAAGAACTAGTTCGTTCTGGTTTATGATTGTCTAGGAAAATCAAGATGCTTACCTTGAGATGCATGACATGACAAATCACGTGTTCATTAGGTGACGGGACAATGCGAGGCTTCTTTCGAAAGCTGGTAGTCCAGGTTAGCAGCGAAATCTGTCACACCATCAGGTGCCCCGTATTCCATCCTCACAGTCCGAAATTGGAGTTTTCTCACCATTCGTACAGAGTGTTGGTGATCGATGGACCAGACACGGAATACCATCCGTGCGGAAACGAATTGCATAGTGGTCTGTTGGTAATTGATCAGGTGGCTGTTGATCTGTTCGCCGAGCTTGGCAATTGATTTGCTAACAGATCAACGGCCACCTGATCAATTACCAACTAATACACCCGAGCTACCAATATTCCAACACATTACCAATAGTGGTCTGTTTACCACCGGATTATTGGACCCATTGTAGCTGCTAGATCCCTCGATTTTTGTTGTTTCTGGTTCTCTTTTCCGAGACTTTAGTCCACATAGTTCACTGAATTTTGGAGAAGTTCCTTTTGGTACCTGTTAACGGTTGACTCGGTGCTTTAACCGGCTTTCGATCGTGTCGAATAATGGAAGGTCCCGTTGAATGGAGCCGGAATGAAGCCAAGGACTCCGTGTAATCACATTTTTTCCACCAAACAGTAACGATCACAAGATAGGAATATTCGAAATGGTGTCAGGAACCTGTACTGCTGACAGCTTTAACATGTCCCCGGTCTAATAGCCTGCAGAAAGAGCAGCTGGCCGGTTTTCGCTCCGTCTACTGAAGATGGATAAATTCAATCCGACTGTGGTCCTCGCATAGGGATTCTCACATTTGCCCATTGTTTGTTTGGCTCATTCGATCGGGCTTGTATCCATCCGAACTCACGTGACTGGGCGGTGAACATGACTTTGTTCGGGTTTGTGCTTTTCGTCTGCACACGTGATGTACATCACATGTCCTTTTAATTATAAGGACAGATTTCACTCGGCTTCCCATTCACACTGTTTCTTCTGTATGTTCTGCAACAAAACTTGCTATCTGTTGCCCCAGATTGAGCTCAGTTTGTTGACTATACTGTGGGTTTGTTTTTGTTTCAGCTTGTATTGAAGGCTGGATTTATTGTACGAATGTCCAGACCTTGCACTCGTCGCAATATAAGAAATACTGATGTCCGGTAGTCCCATTTTGTTAGAACTTTGCATAGATTAACCGAATTCGCTCATAGTAGGAGTGTAGGTAGTGCGAGTGGGGATTTTAATTTTGTCCCATATGCCAATCTATACTGAAAAGTCTAGAAGTGTTGTACAGCTGTCTCATCCTCATCAGCGTGTATCTTACGAAGCACAGGGCAGTTTGAAATCCTCAACCTCTCGGTTAGTAGATGGAGACTTGACCATTTGGCCGATCGCATCAATCATTCTCAACCTATCCGCAGTGTGTAAGTAGCCCAGTAGCCCGAATAACAAACCTTCCATGTTTGAAGTCGTCATTCGGGGGACCGGACAATACTTGACCATGTGATGTGAATTCCGTGATTGGCAGATGCTATATCTTGTCTGACTGCGAGTTATTTACATTGCTGATCAGGTGCTCGTGGTCAAACTTTTAAGGATGTCGCGGGCTTGACATTCTCTGGGGTCTTGTGACGTTCGACCCGCTGATGATTCCGATTGAGGACGAAACCACTGTACAGCGCAACATAGGTTTGCTTCACATTCCAGGAATGTGGACAAACACTTGCGATTGCCGGCCGACACAATCATCTGCATACCAATTTGGTTTTGATGTGAGACTCACATGGAACCCAGCTGATCACTCGTTTGCCGACACAATCATCTGCATACCAATTTGGTTTTGATGTGAGACTCACATGGAACCCAGCTGAATCACTCGTTTATGATGTTCTCCCCAAGAAGGACGATACCGGTCGTGAGCTGTCGGGTAGAATAAGTCTATACTTGCGCTTGCTGTTTACAATCATTCAGTCTTCTGAGCGGAAAGATCGATAAGGGAAGAACCGTCATACATAGTCATTCCTGTGACATCCAGAGCGAGCAGTTTGTAGCCTCATCACTGAATTCACATTAGTCATGAAACTAAATCGTCATACCTTTCGATGGCGTTTGTCTGCTTAAACAGTTGTGGATCCGCGTGTGGAAAAGCCGACTGTACTGATTAGCACTTTTTCGCTGAGGTATGTGCGTCTTGTCTAGATGTTGTTTTTCACTCCTCCTTCTGCTCAATCTTGATCGATGTCGGTGTGCCATTAGGGTAACTGTTTGCTTAACTACTCTCCCACTACGCACCCTCTAGTTTAGCCTTGGTCCTTTTCCCCAGGCAAAGGCGACACTGCCTTTTGCAACTGTCAAGGGCGTAGCGGTCATGTGATAGGATGCAAAACTGTGAATACCACACGCGTCACGTGACTCAGCATACCAATCCAACCGATATGGGTGTTTACGGTTTTCGGGTAGCAGTACGAAGTGAGGTTTATTCCCCGCTGAATTTCGGACAACTCAGCGGTTAGGGCGCAATTTTCTTACCAGTGCCTTGAGCCTGACGTTATACGCCCGTGCTTCGATTGTACAGCAGCCCCACAAAGAATGCCGTGACAGAACTACCGCTTTTTGTCAACCGACTGTCTTATTCTATTACCTTGGTCCTACCTCTATGGAGAGAGTGGAGCATTTGCCAACCACTGGAGTACCCTTCTTTGTGGAATTTTGAGTCATGGCGTGGGAAGGCTCCTATGGACTTCCAGTTGGACGAGTGTGTTTGGGGAAGTGTCTTTAGTTTGAAGTACTTTCATTGAGCCTTCATTGACTCCTCATCTGCCTTTCCCTGATAATCACGCTTAATTTATCCCGATACACAGCAAGTCATATCGTATAGAAAATTACTGTAAGCAGATACGCGTATTCAACATGTCTACATGGCCCTGTCGTTGTACGCTTGTGCGTTGAACTGGTTTGTTAGTGATTTTCCCCGATTTGTTCCGTTAGATTTTCGTGTTACTGAAATAAAAGATAATCGCTCAGCTGTACCACTCTTTCGGTGCCTAACTGCCATGGTATCTGAAGGGAGCACGAGGGCACGAGGTTGCCCAAGCCTAGACAGGGGAAGTCGAGAGGCAGAGGTCGGATTCGAACCACAGACCTTCCGGTCAGTAAATTCGCGCTCTAACCACTAAGCTGTCTCGCCCCGTTACCGAAGTGGCTCCTTTCTACTTTCGCCAACAGAGCGTGGCATTCCGTGTGAGGTAGAGCCCATAAGGTGGTCGTTCCGTTCTAAGGCCACCAATGAAAACAGATCACTTTTGGTTAATGTCTTTGAAGGTACCCACTTTGCTCAGTTATTTTCAGATGGTCTCCCCAGATTATCTTTCAAAAGGTCCATTCAGTCTTGAGGACTTGTCCACTATTGAGGGGCCAACTTGTTTAATCCCTGTGAGACTCAGTCGTTCATTTCTCCTGTAAGAACCAGTAGTTAATTCTACTTTCACCAGACTGAAAAATATGTATTTCTTTCGACAGTTTAAACAATATTGTTATACGAGAAATACACTCATTTGCAAATCAATCTGGTTTTCACGGGAGACTCAATTGAATCTCTCGTTTATGGTGTCCTCCAGTCAAAGATTTTTCAGCAACCTTGTGAGTAGTTTCCTTCTTGTGATTTTAGCGTTGCAGTTTTGGGGTTTTGCGGGATAGGTATGTTTTGTTCATAGCGTTCTCTTCAGCTTGCTACTTCTGTTCAGTGGATAACTTCGTAAGGCCCCTCGACCCTTCGTGCGTAGTCATCTCGCTCTTCCTAGCTGTTCTTCAACCCCCAATTGCGGTTCAAGTAGATCATAAGGTTGACGGAAACTCGGGGACTGCGCCTACCTGATGAGCCCGAACTGGAAGGGCAAAACCGGTCGTGGGCTGTCGAAGAGTTTTCAGCAACCTTGTGAGTAGTTTCCTTCTTGTGATTTTAGCGTTGCAGTTTTGGGGTTTTGCGGGATAGGTATGTTTTGTTCATAGCGTTCTCTTCAGCTTGCTACTTCTGTTCAGTGGATAACTTCGTAAGGCCCCTCGACCCTTCGTGCGTAGTCATCTCGCTCTTCCTAGCTGTTCTTCAACCCCCAATTGCTTTGATCGGAGGACAATTGAAAATGGTGTGCTCGCTTCTTCGAAAGCCTATTAGTGGACGAGGCGAGATTTGTCTGTGGTGACACTGACTGCTAGTCACAAACACGTCATTCTTGTGCTGTCTGTCAGTTTCATCTGTTGGCTGTGCTGGTCACTTTTAATTTATTTAGGAAGTCAAACGACCAGTAGTACTAAGGTTACCATCCCGTAGTTTCTTCGCTGTTAGATTAGAATGATCGGGTGGACAACTTGGCTATTGACGGTAGATGCATGGTTCGAACCCAGCCATTGCTTTTCGATTTCTCCTGTCCGGGCTGGGGCAACTTGAGAGTTCTCGTGCTTCTTTCGGGTGGCCTGGCAACTATGCAACGAAAAGGTTTTAACACCTAAGCGATTTGTCGGCTCTAGGCGTACCTCATATAGTAATTGGACCAGGTGTACCAGGGTAATTGGACAGTGTGAAACCTTGTAGCCAAAGGGTCCTATCCCATCTAATTTGTTGTAAATGAACTCTTGCGGTTGGGATTTTGGCACTGTTTTTGTAACGAGGTGCTAAGCTCGGTAAACTGGTGCTGAAAGTACTGCTCTCATGCAAAGAGGACAACAGCCAACCCAAATTTGAGCAATACTCAAACCAATCTTTGTTTGACGCAATGATGATCCACTTTCTGGATGACTCTTATCGTGTGATTTTGTGGTCCGAAAGGCGTCGACCGTAGAAACGATATTTTTCACTCGATCAATAAATTTAGCCTGTTTGCATTTGATTCTGCGATTTCCTCAGTGATGATTGATGTGTTCTCACTAAGACATTTGTTTATCGATGGGCCAGGCATTTGTCGTTTGGCCAGTTAACTTAATTATGGGTGATTACTCAATTGTCAATCAGTTCTATCGATTAGTTCCTCTGCTTCAACGTTGTTGATTGGTCTGTTCACATTCTGTTCTCGATCGCCATCGGCAAAATATGTCTCCCATGCTCATACTTTGAGACAGCGTTTTTCACTCCGATCTTACTGTATTTTTCTAATGAGCAGTTTGTGCATCTGTCTGTTTGGTTCCCTTGTTTCATTGTAACACCCGATCGGTTTTCTTTTCCCCACCGCGGCAGCTTGGGACAAAATTGCACTTGTGTTTCCGAAAGTCACTGATCAAGGAACATACCATCGCCTACGAGCCTGAGGTTCTTTTCTGCTACCGAGTTCCTCAACTTCCGTGGGAATTCGACTGTGGCCCATCAACAGAACAGCAGGATAACTCAGAAGACTCTCCGACGGAGGACCCAGTCAAACGCGAGCAAGGTGAGTGGAAGCAGCAGCAGATGGCGCAAGTAGTCGGAGCGCGAATTTACTGACCAGAAGGTCCGTGGTTCGAGCCGACCTCTGCGAGCCTGAGGTTCTTTTCTGCTACCGAGTTCCTCAACTTCCGTGGGAATTCGACTGTGGCCCATCAACAGAACAGCAGGATAACTCAGAAGACTCTCCGACGGAGGACCCAGTCAAACGCGAGCAAGGTGAGTGGAAGCAGCAGCAGATGGCGCAAGTAGTCGGAGCGCGAATTTACTGACCAGAAGGTCCGTGGTTCGAGCCCGACCTCTGCCTCTCGACTTTCCCTGTCTAGACTTGGGCAACCTGACAGTATCCCAGCCCTCGTGCAACTCTCGGGTGGCATGGCAGCTAGGCACCGAACTGCTGTTACAGCTGAATAATTATTTTATTCATTATCGTATCCGGATCCGTTTTTTGGCTATCAAGGGCGTGTAAAATCGATTCGATTTCAAATTTGTCGAAGCAATGTTCTACATGGACCCCGGACTCATTTTGTCACCTCGTAACTGCCGTACTCAACACTATCGATCAGCTAGGAGTTCCTCTGATCCTCTCCGACTCACTTGTGAGATGTTAGGGGCTGTTGGGTCATCGACAGATATCTGAAAGACATAACCTTGCCTAATTTTGTATCACTCACACAGATGAATTCAGAAAGTACACAGCCGCTATGTCGACCCGGGTTCAGGTCATTCAGATATCCTTTCGATCAGATCGCACATCTCGTTTCTCTCACGAACGAGTCAGCATACTCTTAGACCTTTTGATTTCCGTTCATGTTGGATCTCTTCTCACACTTGCGTTTGACAGGATCTTTGGATCAGGACGTCTGTCAAGTCGCCAACTTTTGCTTGCCTTGGGGTGCCTCAATTGAATCGTGGTCAGTGGACCAAGACCATCCCCAACCGAACCATTTCACGTTCGTTCTGACGAACGAAGTCTACCAGCGGGTGAGACTGTCTTGCCTCATTCACATTCTATGCGTCACTCGGTTTGCTAACTGCTTACTCGATTTCTCAAACTCAATTGTTAGCCCTTTTTTAAAATACACCCAAGGTCACTGCTTCCCCCTTGGATTTCCTGAATGCATTTTCTATGATTGTGTTTGCCCTCGTCATCGCTTTGCACTTTTATAGCTCTACGGCGTCGCGTTCACCTTCCACGAGCCCTACGATATCAACAAACTAGATATGGATAAATGTTACCGGCTCGGTGCGGATCCGGAGCTTCTGTTTCCTTCATCAGGCTCCACTGCCGTAGTTCACACAGTGGATGAGTTGGATCCCGAGGAAAAGGCCAAAATCACCGCCAGACAAAAGCACTTTCTTCGATCGCGCGTTGGTGATCGGGTGATTGGTGTGACCAAGACCATTTGCATCCTGTCGCGGTGGTCGTTTCCCGTCGCCTTCACAAACTTTTTGGCCTTTTTCTACAGTCGTTGTTTCCCTGGCGCCAAAAATGATCCTGTTCCTTTGGAACGGTAAGCGACTGCACTATTTGACTCGACATAATATGTGCTATGTCTGACGTAAACACTATATGTATTTTTTAACGAGCAATCCGTAGGTAGCGCCTAGTCAACCAAATCAACCAATGGCTCTTCAGCTAGGCTCACGACTTGGTTGTCGATATGTTTGTGGAGCTTGGCAGTTGGATTGAGAGTGTTTCATCACTAGTGTAGGTGATGTCATCAGTGTGGGTCGAGTGTTGATCATTGAGATAGTCTTACCGTTGGAGGGATACCAACCAGCCGCATGCGGGACTATTTTCTCATGAAAAGGGTAACTGGTGTGAGTCTCACAACATGTTTTTTGCGTCTGGCTAGTGAAATTTTTGGAGGGAATACCTTGACTTTTGCATATGTGTAACTGAAACATTTTTGCTGTTGTGTAGGCCCTTGAGTACAGGTATTTTGCTCCTAAAGTTGAATAAATTGTTGTAAAGTGGCAAAAAAGCTTGCTAATTATTGAGAAATCGATGACTATCGAGTTTCCGTGTGTTGCTTTGTCCCATGTTTGAGCTTCGTCAGCTTCGGTCCCTGTTACGACAGTGATGTGATCCAACTATGGCCATATGCGATGCTAATCTACTTTTAAGTCCAATCAGTAATACGTACGTCGTTGTCCGCCCAACGTCACAGACGATTAGTAAATTGGGTCGACGACGTAAGTCGTTTCCGTTGTAGTGTTTTTGTGACAAAACAGACAGTGTTCCCTGCACTGCTCTACTCATCTCGGCTTTGACAGCCTTACAGTGACTTGACTCACCTATCTTTGTTGGTGTTTCACCTCCAACCGCGGACGAGGACCACGGGCATTCTAGTGAGTAGCTCACTCGTGTGTTTGTCTAACAAATTTGATCTCCAGTAAACATAATGACTGGTTGAGTCAGCCTCCACTGCCACTGTCTTCATGAGCAGAATAAGCTGGAATCTAAATTTGTTATACGTAGATGGAAGATAGACGAATAGATTGGGTTTCACCGCGGTGTGACGGTTTATGCACCTCCATAACCCATTGGGCTATTCTGGGGAGTGTACATGTGACACTCACAGAGTCTCTGATATCAAGTTGATCAATGGCCAGAGGTATGACTAACACAGTCTCCTGGCCACCCAGGCTGGGGGTTGGAACGTGTGTAGCGACTTGTTTATCAAACATTTAGGCTTCTCTGACGGTCTTACACCAACCATCGCTGCTTTTGGGTTTAGGTTTCGAACCAAAGGTTTTGTCTGAGGGCTCTAATCGTTCTCCTGTCTAGGTGTAGGTGCCCTGACAATATCCCAACCCACGTACAACCATGAATTAAATATAATAATAAATAATCGTTCAGCTGTAACACCCTTCCGGTGCCTAGCTGCCGGGTCGCCCAGGTCTAGACAGGGGAAGTCGAGTGGCAGGGGTCTGGTTCGAACCACGGACCTTCCGGTCAGTAAATTCGCGCTCTAACCACTTGAGCCATCTCGCTCCCCATGTACAACCATGAATTACATGGTTGTACAGCAGTGAAGCACCAGTATTTTCCATTTTTCTCACTCTTTTTTCCTTTCAGCTATTTAACCCATTTTCTATGTGAAGTGCCTTTTCCGGACCCGAAAATGCCAAATATCTTGGTGGAGGTTAGTGCTCGTTTTTACTGTTGTCAAAACCTTGATGCTTTTTGCCTGCGTTCGATTCTGTCACTTGTTCGTAGGCCACTCGTCCTTCAAAGGAACAAAGCTGTTTGCGTATGGTATCCCGTATGTCATACTCGAGGACTGAAACGCACTACAGCTCTTCATTTATTTACAAAGGGCGTGGTCTTGAACGGTCGGATTTGTTGTTCTTAGGGTGTGCTATTTGTGAGTTCATCACGTGACTGAGTCTTGGGCACTTCATCTTTCCTAAGTATGTTCAATGTTGTCCGTAACCTTATAATCAGTCCATCAACACTTTATCGCTTTTTGTGAATTGTTTGACCCAAGCAGCGTGCACGCTATGTGCTTGGCATAAGTTAGACTTTGGTTCACGTGACTGCACCACTTTATTGATCAGTCTGACCCGGTTAGCACATCATACCATTTTAGAGTGACTAATTTGTCAGGCACATTCGAAACGTCAAACAATCGACCTGTGTTTGTAGCAAACCAGGGTAGACGTCGAAGCACACGTTCGCGATTCCTCTCGTCAGCGAGCACTTTGTTGGTCAGACCATATTGCTGTCAGTGGAAGTGAACGTACACACATTTATCGGTCATTAGTGTCCAGAATATCATAACCACACTTGATATCGCGTCTACTTCGACACAAGAATTGAGCAACACCATGTCACCAGTTAATTTCTCTCAGTTGTGCCAGAGACGGCGAATTGTGCACAACTCATGTGAACTAGTCGCGGCTAGCTTGTTGACCCTTGTTCTGTCCGGTACATTAGCTGAGTTGATCGAGTGTTGTGCATGAGAACAAGTGAAGCAGCGGTACGCTTGCTCCAAAAATGACTGTACGTTTGACACACACCTAAGCTCACCCTTTCTCCAGGATTGTCCAGTCGCGGGACATTTTAACACCCTAGCATACGATTTCGACCAGAAAGAGGGCATTTCCCTGGGACAGATTACAACAGCGGTCCACGTCAACCATAACCTGGTGTACGTTCCATCTGAAGGAAGATCGAACAGCCTCTTGGCCTGTTACACCTTCCTGGAGCACGACAGTCCAGCTTTTTACCGTGTTTGATCACCCTTGTGAATAATATCGAACGATCTCTCTGTCATCGATTGACCCATTTACGTTTCGTCGTTCATTTTCTTGTAGCTTTGTGCCGCCCCCATACTATTGCAACTACCAGATGAGTCAAATGCTTCGTCAAGGTAAGCCTGTTATTCGAATTGCCGTGGTTTCTGTGTGTTTAACTTCACAGAGAAAGTGACCTTCGCATGTGAGTGCTCCACCCACACGATATTGTCACGACACGTTTTGCTTACTTTAGTTTTGGGCCTTATACAAGTGGAAAAAGTATTCGAGCTCTGTGAGCAGCTGCTCCGTTCGCCAGAAATGAGGGAGAATCATGCGATAAGATATGAGTTAGTTTAGAGTCGACCGGTTACAGAACACCGTCATATTCCGTTACAGAACTCCCGTCCACATAGACGTCGACCCTCTGCATTCGTTTCCGAACCAACTCGTCACGTGGGTTTAAAGGATGGTTGAGGCAACCGTTGCGCGCGATCGACGCACATGGCTTCATCCTTCCGGACACACAAGATCTTAGTCAACGTGTCACATTCTAGAACAATGCCACTGAGGATCGAGACACTCGTATTTCATTTGAGCATACTTAGGCCGCATGCTTTTACTGTCATTCTCATTGCTGCTATTTTGGCAGAACCTATTGGCCCATCGATTTTTCGGCTGGCCAATCACCTTTCAACGAACTTTGAAGTCCACGTCATGTCAGAATTGTTCTTTCTGGTTGTACTCGCGCAGCTTCCTCCAACACCGTGCAATCACACGCAGCCTGAACAATGCAATGTGGTAGTCATGGTATCGCTATCGGTCGTTCGTCTTTGATTCTTATCTCGTTAATAGCATGTTCTCTCTGTGCTGTACTGTGGCCTGGTACTTTGTTCGTTCGCTCATACGGTTTACATGCGTGCAACCGTGGTTGCTAGAGAACGATGCAATGAGGATGCAGTTGTGTAAGCAAGCTTGTGCTGTCTGCGATGTGTTGCTACGTGACCTTTGATCCAGCCGGAGCCGAGTTTCACTACTAACTCACGGCACACAAGCATTGGTTTTGGCGTCTAGCTTCGATGTGAAACTCATTTACTACAAATGTGATGCCAAGAGATGGAACAGGTCACTCACACACTGCCACACTTTTTATGAACACTCTGTGGATTTACGCGTTGTTTGGCTTTCCGTGTCTTTCAGATTTATCTGCGGTTGACTTATTCAAGAAATCTGTCCAATACAGAATAGACATTGTGTTTTCATCGATCCTGGTGGATAACCAAACCGTGGGCTTGGAATTCCACGGAGGTTTGGTTGGATCCTGCAAAGTTATACGCCATATGAAATATTTCGCCTTAGCAAGTTAATCGGGTGGGCGCGACTGGCATTGATCACGTGACTTGTGGTTCGCAATTTCATGCTGTAACTTCCAAGGCTGCCGACTGATTGATCTAAGTTGAAGCTGTGATTCTGGGTCTAACCTGGCTGAGTGGCGTTCATATCAATGTTGTTTATCGTTCTGGCTATTCCACAGAAAGCATGGAGTCCAATGCCCAACAACAACAGAGTATCAATGATGTCATGCAGATGAGGTTTGACCTTGCTACAGAGCGCTACCGGCTGGAAAAGAACACAAAGGACCCTCGTTCTAGATACAAGTGAGCTGAATTCTATCTTAGCGAGATACACTCATTTCCAAACTGGTTCGGTTTTAGGAGAGACTCACCTGGAACCCTGTTGAATCTATCGTTTGTCATGTTTCCAGGCAACTGAATGTGCTGCACCATGCCGCCTCATGTTTCGGTCGCCACGATATTCGAGATATCGCGATACATGTGTATTCGTAAGGCAACTGAGCGTATTTCGCTAATTTCGTGCAATTTGGTTTCAAGAAGAACATAAGGTTGACGGACACTCTAGGACTGCGCCTAACTGATGAGCCCGAACTGGAAGGGCGAAACCGGTCGTGCGTTGTCGACGGATTTTCAGCAACCTTATGAGTAGTGCATTGTGGAGACTATATTGTGGACAGACATGGGGAAGGGCGCTGCGTGGATAACGAAATTGAGTTCAATACACCGGACGGAATTTGGCCGCAAACAAGCAGTAATTATTTTCCGATCTTCGTAACTGGATCCACTATCACGTCTTTTGACAAGCGTCGTTCAAGGCTGGAGGCAGGTTGCTAGGTTTCTGGAAATCTCCAGCCACGTGACTGCGACAGCCGATTTTACACCTCGTTTGTATAACAGTTCTGTTTGACAAACCTTGTGACATTAGGTTTTCACGTGACCAAGCCTAGCCTCAACGTGATCATACGGTCTTATTGATTGGATTCTCATTGTGTCCACTTCGTTTTGTCACTTCTTATTCGGCCGTCACAGTGTTCCAATTTGCGGATAGGTGTTCACCACCATTCACGGACAAACTACAAGACTCGCGTTGAAACTTTTATTTCTCAGTACTTTTCAGAGATCACCATAACAGATGTACCCGGTCAATCGAATGACAACGGACTAAGCATCGTTGTCCATATCCTTACGTTGGTGTTGACCCCTTCCCCTTTCTTTGATGTTTTCCTATCTAGCTCTGAGCCATTTTTCTACTTGCTGAGTCAACTGGGTGTTGACCTGTCAATCGAAATGCTTGTACAAATGCTCACCGAACAGAAGGTGCTTCTTACCTCTGTCCAGCACTTCCTTCTCACGCAAATCGGAGAGGCACTGACCTCGGTGAGTCACTTTTCAACTTCCCTTTTCTGACCGAGAGCCGATCCATGGGACATAGTCTTAGAGCTGTTTAGTTACTTTGGGTGTATGCTCCAATCTTTGCACAACCAAGCAGACGTACCAACAGAATGCAGACCACTTTTTTGGTTATTCCGTTGAGGTCAGGTCGTCTTTCTGAATCCCTTTGGATCATTAGAAATCTTGACTGTTTTCGGGCGTTTGTTGATTTTCGGAGTAGGTCCGTTCAGAACAAAAGACTTACTTATGGATAGCATCTCTTGACCAATATAATATCTGTTGCAGCTTGAGACAATCACTATAGCGCCTATAACCAGTGTGTACAACGGGTTCGCACAATTATCGTCTTGAATCTGTGGCTGTCTCCTGTCTCCCAGTTCTTGTAGATAGCCGTAAAAAAAACTGTTGTACAAGTGCACTGCACTTTAAAAGTAATCGGTATGTTTTGCGAAATATTTCGCCACTTCGACCGCAACTTGGCGACCGCCTCCGCAATGTCAGTTCAGTGGTGACATGTTTTTATTCTCATGCACCTCGTAAACACAAAATCCAGATTGAAGTTTTTGAGTGTGCAACTTGGAACAAGATTCTTCGGATTTGAAAGATGATGGTAACACTCTGAAAGGAAACTACTCACAAGGTTGCTGAATACTCTTGCCCTTCTCGGAGCTCATTAGGTAGGCACAGAGTTTCCGTCAACCTTATGTTCTAAGTGAACGCAAATAGCGCGAAATTAGCAAAATGCACCCATTTGCAAATCAATTTAGTTTCATGGGAGATTCAACCGAATCTCTCGCATATGATATCTCAATTGGCGTACAGACTGAAACATGAGGTACCCTTTTTACAGCACGTTCAGTTGTAGAATATCATAAACGAGAAATGCAGTTGAGCCTCCCTTAAAAAAACAAATTGATTTGCAAATGAGTGTTTTTTGTCGAAATCAGTCCAATTTGGGTTCAAGTAGAACATAAGGTTGACGGAAACTCGGGGACTGCGCCTACCGGATGAGCCCGAAGTGGAAGGGCGAAACCGGTCGTGGGCTGTCGACGGATTTTCAGCAACCTTGTGAGTAGTTTCCTGTATGAAAATATACTGCGATATCTCGAATATCGTGCCAACTGGCAGCACATTCAGTTGTAGAATATCATAAAGACGAGAGATTCAGTTGAGTCTCTCGTGAGAACCAAATTGATTTGCAAATGGGTGTAGTTCTCTATAACAGTCCAATTCGGGCTCAAGTAGAACATAAAGTTAACGGTATCTTGGAGACTGCGCCTACCTGATGGGCCCCAAGAAGGCGAAACCGATCGTGATTTGTCAAAGGGCTTTGAGAAGTCAGCTATGCGGTTTTAAGAGGCATGTCCTAATATACAGAAGTAAGAATATTCCTTTGATACAGCCAAGTCTCTCAATAGTGGACACTCGGTGGAAAGCTATAAATCAGTGTGGGGGTTGAGGATTCGCGATCAAGCCACGTGACACAGTAAAGCGCGATTATGTAGGAAATCGATTGGTGGATTTCCAGGAGGCCTTTTCCTTCTAAGGACTTCGAAATGGGATGGTATCCAGACAACTATATACTTGCACTGTGTTCCTGCGACAGGTCTGTATCGTAAAACCGTATTTCCGCTGAATAATAATGGTAATAATAGTTCAGCTGCAGTACCCTAGTTGCCGTATCAACGGAAGGGCTAGGGTAGTGTCAGGTTGTCCAAGCCTAGACCAGAGCAGTCGAGATGCCGGGTTTGGGTTTGAACCACGAACTTTCCGGTCAGTATTTCCGTGCCCCAACTGTTGAGCTCATATTTCTCCTGAAAAGTTAGTGAATTCAGTAGACTTTGGAAGGTTCCTCTCCCATGATTTGTGATTAGTATCGTTCGTCCATATTGTCGCTATATTAGGGTTGTGTCAAATTAGTTGTCATCGTTCTTTCTTGTAACTTTCATTTTACTCTTGGCGGATATTCCATTCGTTCCTCCGCATAACCGTTGACCGTCTGTCGCCATTCACTACTGGCTGTTAAAATCGATGTATTCGATTTCACTTTTTTTCCCGCACATTCCTCTGCAGAAGTGTGTCAGAAATTTAGGCGTTTCTGGCCTAGATAGGGAGGAACCATTGTGGGTGTCCCTCTCTAGATTTCACCGATTGCTGTCTCGCAATGCAATCATTTGCATGTGCGGTGAACCCCATGGCATACACTGTAGATGTGACATTTAGGAATTGACTAATCGTCGTTTGGCCCACCCAACAGCACACTGAAGATGTCTCCTCGAATGGCGACGAAACGTTTTCAAACCAAATAACAGCACACTGAAGCAGATCAACAGTCACCTGATCAATTACAAACTAATTGGGGAGCTTCCACACTCAGGAAGTCGGCGTGCAGTTTAGGAATAAAACGGCGAGCTGGTACCTGCTCGCAAGTTTAAAATCAATACTAGGACGATTATATGGTATTTTGTTTTACCCGAGCCTCCTTTTCGATATCGATATCTTTGCAGTCATATAACCCAATTGAAAAAGTTTAAATTTTCATTCTAAAGTGTTTGTTGGAATAACCAGCTATTGGGCTGACTGACTGCGGTCAATTCTGTATAGTACCGGCAAGTTCCGTGACCAACTTGTAGTCGGCGAGATGGCCCCAGTAGGTAAAGCGCAAATTTACTGGCCGGAAGGTTCGTGGTTCGAACCCGACCTCTTCCTCTCGACTTCTCCTGTCTAGGCTGGGGCGACCTAGCAGTATTCCAGCCCTCGTGCAACCTTCGGGTGGCATGGCAGTTAGGCACCGAAAGGGTGCTACAGCTGTACGACTGATTTTTTGTTATCTTGGTTGAAGGTCGTCATAACTGAATTAAATCAAATTTACTAGTTTCTTGACTCATTTTCATCTCTAGTGAAATACACTGATCAGAGGAAAAAAGAGGAAACACATGCCAGAATTCCGGCAGTGCGTGCATACAACCAGCCGACGGTTAGGTTTCCCTGCCCTCGTTGGGCCCAAAACGTTGACTTAAAATGTGGTAGGTGTAATTGCAATCGACTGGCTGCAGTCATCTCAGCTACCCGAGCCACCTTGCCCCCCGTAGTGCAACCCAGCGCGGTCCTACTTATACGGTCGAACGCAGACTACCAGCACCCCGCTCTTACGCAGCCCCGAGGAACGACAGGTCGTTCTGCTCTAACAACCTTTCGATGCTTAGCTTCCATGCCACCTGAAGGAAGCACGAAGACTGAGATACCACCAGGCTGTGCAAACCTAGACAGGAGCGGTTAAGCTTCCGAAGTTCGTTTCGAACCGCAAGCTTTCTGGTCAGTGATTTAGCGCCGTAACCCCTGAGCTGTCTCCAAGGACGACAGCATAAGACTGAAAACTCTTACACTTGGCGAAAAGCCTGGCAACTTCAATGTCCAAATTCTTCCAAAGGGTATTAGACCCAGCAAGCTTTCCAGAGTGGCGGAACAGCTGACTTGTTATCCCATTTACGAGGGAGGTAAACGGCCCGGCCCGCATTCTCCAAAATATCGTAGACCCAGAGAACTGGGATCTACTATCTGCACTGGTTCCGGTAAAAACAATCCTGTCCCACAAAGCTCTCACTGACCAAGGACAACTGGATCAGAGAATTCGACACAGAGAGGCGGAGCTTGACGTCATCTCTCTCGACTTTTCAAAGGCCTTTGACCGTGTGCAATACAACAAACATCCTGCTAGACTTTGGTGCTATAGTCCGTGTACTTCAATGGATCTGATGTTACTTAAAATTACAAACAATAACTGTGCGGTTGAGCGGAACAATGTCGGAATACTATCCACAGGACTGCGTACTGGCGCTGTCTTCTACCCTCATCAACAACCTACCGGCAATCCTGAATTCCTCTTGTCAACTCTCCGCTGACGGCTTCAGCTTGTGGAGATCTATACTACATCCGGGATTATTCCATGTTATAATCGAACCTGTAGTGGTCCGTGGATAACCATCTCCCATCCAAAAGGATTAACGCTTTTTCTCCGTTGTCTCCACCCCCGCACGTATAGTCTTGGATCTCAGGTATTTCATGCTTCCAGTCGCGAAAATGACCTCGGAATCTTCATCCAACAGGATCTCTGGAACACAGCTGAGTGCTAAAACGTCACCAGACACGTTTTTCTACCCTATCCGCTAACAGGGGAGCGTTTCTCAACAAATTTAAGTGTGTTCGCATATCGAATGTGCAGTTCAGGCTTGGAATTGCATATTGTAGGCATACCGAACACCAGAAAGCCTTCGTGGTCACGTACCGAAGATCGTGCAACAACACACTCACCCAGACCACAGGCCCTACTTCTTCCTACGCATCTGTGAGTCCTAGAGCTACCTTTCCTCTGGTGTGACCCCAATGCCGATACTGCGGCCTTTCAACACCTTCGCATGCAGCATCTGTATCATTGCATCGTTTGACCAGTGCTCACCGCCAACTCTAAACCTGCTACACTGTGCGGGACACGAGATTCGCAAGCTCAGTTTTCGTTCAACTCGGTGACGAGAGCTTGGACCACCAAGGAATCAATGCCTTTGTATACCGCCATGACATAAACGAGCTTTATGGACTATGCATTATTATCGCAGTGTCCGCACAACAACAAAAACTCATAACACAATAAAGGTGCCATTACACCGTACTAAACGGGTTCTAGTCTCGGCTCCACTGACCGGAGATTGTGGTGGCGTAAGGTCATATGACCATAAATCGGTTTCAATTGAGTGAATGCTAGGTTCCGAAAAGTCGAGATTGTCGATGTCAGGAATATAAATTCACCCTTGATAGTCGCTTGGTGGTTATCTGGCCAGAGTCTGCAGAAAATCCTTATATCTGTAAAAGGCCAACTATGAACAATGGACTGAAATAGTGCTGGCCTATCCTTCGTATCATAAGCAAATGGATGACTTCCTTCACATTCGGGTACAGCGGTGTAGTTCCATATGTAACCGTTTTTTGACAGTAACTCTACACTTCGTGTGTTTATCAAGTTTTCGAATGGTGCCCGAGTTCGAAGTAGGTAGGCGCGAATTTAATGACTCGAAGGTCCGTGGTTCGAACCCGACCTTTGCACCTCAACCGCCCATGTCTAGACTTGAGCATCCTGACAACATCTAAACCCTCGACAGCTGGTGTCTGGGACATTGTACCAACGAAAAAAACGAGGCGTTCTTCGTGCAGCACATTCATTTGTCGAATATCATAAACGAGATATTCGTGTGCAAATGTTCAAATCCAGCAGTTTTTGTTCCGACCACATGTAAATGAATTAAGAAGAGCCCGTAATTGTTGTCTGTGGCCTGATGAGATTGTTGCCGATGATGGTGCTGATGTTTTCAACAGAGTGACACTCACATGACGCCTTTGGTTTATTGCCAAAAGGTCCGAATTGATCGCAGTCAGTCGTATCCGGTTGATGGTTTTCCTCGTCAAAACCCTTCGTGTTGGTCCTGGCCTGTGAGCACGAAAGCACACTGAAACGTACAATTCATGTTTCGGTCCAGCTTTAAAAGGAAATAACTAAAAAGACGAGCTGATACAGATGGGATTAGTTTAAAGCTGGGCTAGTGTCAAAACGAAACATTGCATCGTCAATTCTACTGTTTCACAATTCGGAATGAATAACATGTGGGTGGAAGTGGGACTGTATCTGACGGAAATTTCGTCTTGCAAGTAAAGCCATTCTGTACTGTAAAGCCGAAAACCACTTTACAGCTGTTGCATTCTTATTGGATGCGTGAAAGCACTGCTCACGGATCCGGGTAGATGAGAACCGATGGTTATGCTAACGTTTTCCTTCCAGTGGTGTATGCTATTTTTTCCTCTCTCAAGGCCAAGAACTTCAACCTCAGTGTGATACTGACAACGTCAGTCGTACCAAACTTTGCGGTAATATCGGTGAACCGAACTCATTTTAAGCGAGATACGAAACGAAACGAGGTCTGCTTAATTTAGATGACCCTGGTTTGGTTTTCATTGTGTGCATACTAACTCGCAACCATCCTCCTTTCTTGGCGTTGTATTCTCGCCAAGAAGGTAGTGCTGTGCTAACTGGAGTTTGTCTTTTTTCATTCCACCTTTTACCAAGCAATTGAGACATCACGGTTTTAGTGGGAAAAGGTAACTCATTGTAATTTTCAGTGTTACTTAGCGATAGTTTCTGGTCTTGATCACGGGCCGTCTACAGGCGGTCATATATTATTCAGTAACCAATAGACTAGTCACAGTACGTCTTTATACATACTCTTTTACCATGGGGTTTCTGTTGATTGCCTAATGAAAAGAAGATTGATCTTCTGTCAGGTTATTCAGGCACCGGAGAAAGACGTTTAGGCGAGAAGCTCATGCCTGTTAACTTCTTCCCGGCGTTTCTATAGAGGATTGATTAGTCTGCTTTTGGCCGATGTAGCCGAGCGGCTAAGATCGTGCTTCACTATTTCGATGACCTGGGATTGGGCACCATCTATCAGTGCCCTCCATTTAGCACCTGCATCCTGCCCTGATAATCTGTTCACGTAAAAGCAACCTTTTGACTTCTCTTTTTGTGGGTGAACGCGATTTCTCTGGTTCCGTATGCTTTAAAGCCTGTCGTCGGTATAATTTTTTCCAGAACTGATCCACTCTGTTTCGCAATCTCTCTGCCAACTCGTTGTCAAATAGTTTTTATCAATCTCATCCCCTCTGTGTTTTCTTGTGCCCCAGATGATCTTCCCGCTGCAATGGGCCGTGGTCTACATTCCATTCATCTATATGGGTCACGTGCAGGTCATCCAATCACCGTTCCCCTATCTTATCGGAGTAGATTCACGGTTTTTCGACTTCTTCCGTCTACCACATGGTGGTGAGGGTATCACCTATGTGGATTTGGACACGAAGAATTTCAAACCCGCCGAATCCATTGGTCAAGAACCTGTCTTGACCTCAAAGATGTTGCCCAGGGTGAGTAAAGTCGGTTTATCGTGTGCATGTTGTCGGCGTTGTGCTCGCTTATAGCTACGTTTGTCATTGTTGGTATGTGATGAGTACACTCAGACACTGACTTGTTGACCTGTGTCTCTTTCCTCGCATCCAAGTGTGGTAGCTTCAACTAGCTAACCTAGTCGTTTTGATGAATGCCCTTGTTTAGGGCCCCGAGGTCATCGACGTCTAGGAGTTTGACATTCTCGAACCATGCATCAAATCTTACTATTCTGGTAGAATATGCCAAGATTCGATTGTATTTTGGTGGCAGATGGCCCGAATTTACTGACTGGAAGGTCTGTGGTTCGAATCCGACCTCTGCCTCTCGACTTCCCCTGTCTAGGCTTGAGCAACCTGGCAGTATCCAAGCCCTCGTGCTTCCTTCGGGTAGCATGGTAGCTAGGCACCGGAAGGGTGTTACAGCTGAACGATTTATTTTTTTAAATATTTATTTATGGTGGCAATCGGTCTAACACTGTATCACTCTCTCTCTCTGTGCTGAAAAACTCCGGCAACGGGAATCAATGAATTACCGATGCGCAGTTTCTAGTAAAAAAACAAAACCAAGGTGGATCAACGAGCGTTCCCCACGTGGCTCGAAAATAAATCAGTTGGTGCAATTGTTGAACGTCCTCAGTCCCGTAAAATAGATAGCTCGGAGACCACATGACCACTAGCAGTCCAAATAAAACATGCCTTATAGGACTCGAGTCTCCATCTGGGCGTCTATTGTAATGGCCTTTTGTTTTCACGTTTGAGATCGGACATTGGTAGGGTTGTGGAGCTGAGTACTTGACTGATATACCTTTCGTCACCGTTTGGGGACACTCAGTCGTTCACCGACGACCTCACGTCGAGTGATGACGAAACGTTTGCCAGTCTACTTCCAAGCTCAGGGAACAGGTCAACAGTCATCAGTCAAGCTGATCCTATCCATCCAAAAAATCTGTACGCTCCCCCGCCCGTGTCCAAAATGCGCCTTCATCTGAGCTGCTTCTCTTAGGAGATGTCCTGGGATCGGCTAACGATTAGCGTTATTGAACGACTGTCGACACTGTCGCATTCCGCTTCCGGATTCAGACATGATGTCGACAAACTTGCCGTTGTATCGTTTCCAACCCAAATGACCAAACAGTTTACCTTCCTATCATTCGGCGCGGGTTTTCGAACTTTGTTCCGGCCAGGACCGGCATCCCACATTTTTTGTCCAGTGTCCACCTTTCCAAACCAAACAACGCCGCTGTCGTCAAGCGCTTATCGAACTCTTTTTCACACATCCCCGCCATTTCGATAACTTTGTGTGATACAACGCAGCTAGTGGAAGGCTAAGGTCCCATGCATGCTTCCACCGGTTTAGTTTATCTATTGACCTGGGTTTATAATGGAATGTCCGGTCAAACACCACAACGCTGGACGACTCGGTTAGTGATCTGTCTTGTGTGACCATCGCTCACGTTCTACCTACGGATAGTTAGCTTGACCTACTTTTCTCTCTGTGTGTGTTAGTCTACTCATTTCGGTCGTTCGCGAACCCAACTGTGTGAATTGGGAAATGTTCGGCTCAGCTCACTGTGCACTGGTAACTTGTTCCTCATCCCATGGCACTCTCCGTTTGTATATTAGTTCCACGGTTCAGCAAAATGCGAATGCAACTTCAGCAGCTCACCACTCTCGATCTACTGGGCGGTTTATTCCAGTGCCAAACTTCTGACTTCGTTTGACGTTGCCAAATGGGTAGGCCGACCAGCTGATGTTTGGTTCACCCGACACCATTGTAGTCTGTATTGAAAAAAAATCATAGTGGGGTCACTCCCCACCATCTCATTGTACCTGCGTATTTGTTTCCCACGGCGACTTATTCACAAGGTCACCGACCGTTCATTTCAGAAACTCAGGTTACAAGCATTCATCACGTGATCTTGAACCCAACTTGCGTCGTACGCAATACTTTGTAGTTTGTGTTCACTACAGTCACGTGAGAAACAGACGGTACGTGTGAATTATGTGATCGCCGTTGCACGTGACTAGGGGGACCATCTTTGTTTGGATAGGTCCTCACATCTTGAACACTCGTCTGGTCGAAAATGAGTTGTGTTTGTTTATTCATCTCACGAAGATTTACCACGTCTTTCGTTTTGTCTAAAGAATGGTCTTAATTGGAATCAAGAGTTTTCAAATGTACGTTCGTAGATTTAGGTAGATTATTCAATGGAATAGAGAACAGATTTGTCCCACCATCGATATCCGCGGCCGAGTACACTCTGAGTGCAAGAACTTGGGGATTCGGTAAAATGAAACTTTACTCTCAATGGTGGTTTGCCTTCCGTGTCGATCATTCTAGCCCTATGCAAGAGAGCTCGTGCCAGACCTGTTAAAAAAACCGTCCAACTGTAGAACCCCTTCGGTGCCTAACTACCATGCCACCCGAAGATTGCACGAGGGCTGGGATACTGCCAGGTTGCCCAGGCCTAGACAGGGAAAGTCGAGAGGCAGAGGTTGGGTTCGAACCACGGACCTTTCGGTCAGTAAATTCGCGCTCTAATCACTTGGGCCATCTCGCCCCGCCAGACCTGTTTGTAAGCTATTAACCGCACCATGTAGATCTGCACAGTTCCATTAGCGACCCGAGTGATTATGGCGTCCAGGAGTATCTAACTGTCATCGGATTCGGGTTGATAAGACCCTAAGAAGTTTGTTTAGGTTCCCGATACAGAACTTTGAGTCACGCGTAGGTTTGACGATCCCGAATATCAAAGGGAAATATTGGACTCGAAACTCCACGGTACTATTTACTCAAAAGTAATCAAAATTGCACAGCAAACCTCAGTGGTCCGCGTTCGTGGCGTCAACACGTGCACAAGTCTGTCACTAACCGGCGTAGTGCATTGTCAACGCCGCACATCAAAGAACCTTGAGCAGACTGTTGGCTCGCTAGTGTGGGTTGCGATCGTCCCCAGCGAAGACAGTCTCGTGAATCAGATTGGCGACGCGTTACACGGAAATCCTATGAGAATAGATCGGTCCAGACTCAGCAAACGGGTTACGAACACGCATGGGTAAGTTGGTCAGCTGCACACATTCACACACACACACACGTACTTGTGTACCATTGTCGGACGGAGCGGTCTTTGCGGCAAGGTGAGTAGCGATCAAAAGTGTACATGGGCGGAGTAAGCAAATAAATGGGGAGTTATCGTGAGGTCAAGTTAGGTTCAATAATCTTGCTACAAATGTTTTAGGGGAAGAACCAACTTGTGTGGGTGGGAAACCTGCCAGTCATTCCCATCCCGTTAGTGCTTCTCTGGTTTTGTAGTTTATCAGAATACATCAGTCCATCCTTTGCTGAATGATTACCTTAGACACTGCGGAAGCAATCCGAATGGTCTGATTGACAGATGTTCATGTCGTGTGCTGTTGATTTGTCCCCCAGATAGATACGATTGACAGCTGACTCGATCTTGCCTACGTGTGTGTGTGGACAGCTCAGGTGGCCAACTACTGAACCTGTTTTTCCGGTAACTGCGTCAAGATTACGGTTCGAACAGTGTGTTTCTCATCAGTAGACCTTATTGTTCGACCGCTTTGGATCACAACTGTGCAGGTTTTCACAGCCGAGTGATTTGATCTGATTGGCATTGGCAATAGTCCATTCAGCCAGCGAGGTCGTTAGACTCTTGGTTATGCGTTACTGTGACAAATATTGATTGCTTGATTCCGATGAGCCAGCCTTTTACCATAGCCTCACTCGAACATGGTTGCCTGGTTTCCAGCACCTCGGCTGTTTGCTTCACCGCATGATAAACTCAAAACTCACCAACTCATCTTTCTGGCCAGGTGGCGTGCATAAATGCGTTTCCAGTTTCCCCAGTAATTGTCACCTCACCTGTGTTTCGCACCACTAGCGGAATGAAACGTAAGCTAAAGTCAGTGCACATCTGTCTTGCAAGCACGACAAACCCGATTTTCAGTCCAAATTGAAAATCATTGGTATATCCGAATGACAGACATTATGCTTGCGTCCCTGAACCGTCATTCCACCCGCAGCAAACATCAATTACCTGGTTAAAGTCTTTGTTTGGCTCGAAGCCAGAACAAGATGATACGGGATGTGCTCTTGAATGTATTATCAACGTTCGGATTTCCATCATTGTAGCCTAACATTGACGGGTGTGATACTCATTGACCGTGTAGCTGATTCGATTTGGACTCAAGTTATTTTCCGGGGGAGGTGCTATGGCCAGCTAATCATCGTAGGAATGACCAGCAGCTCATAGCTTGGGCAATTGTCAGCAGTCTGGCGTGCAATCATTTCGCCCAGTGTGGCAGTGGTGAAAAGAGAGTTTATCGTCTCCTCGAAGCTGAAGTACCAAGCATGTTTCGCCGAATTTGTCTGATTTAATCTCTGTCCTGGTTGACACACAACGGATCCGTCTACATCATTTTTGTGAAACAGCGTGAAGGTCTTTCCTGGTCGATTGCTTGATTGACACTCCCAGTTTAACCATTTCCAGTAGGCACATCTTTTTATCAGATTCACATTTTTGGGTAATCCAGTTCGAATTGCCACTCACGTCTCGTCTCCTACAGAATCTAGGTTGGCGTGTAGAGAAGTCCTGCAAATGTGTGACAGCTATTTTGGACAGATCGCACTGAAATAACATTTACTATGACTGGGTTTAACCGAAATCACCCATAGCCTGCTGTGCCTGAATTCAGGAATGTTTACGATCTGGTCACATGGTCGTGTTGGGCGTTTTTACGGTGAAGCCGTTATGTTGGATTACCCTGCAGAACTCCTGCAAAGGTCGGACAACCAGTCGCCTTGGCAATAAAATCCGGAATGGTGATGGTGTGCACGTGAATCAAGATGATTCGCCGTCCAAGGTGCTTAGAGCTCCCACACGGTAAGCGAGAAATCAGCGATACGAATCCACCTTCAGGCGCTTTTGAAGTGCAGTGTTTGCACACGGACATTCCGT